CTGTTGTATATCTGTCATTTCACTTTTATATAATTATTCTCCGTCTGTGATCCTTGTGGTGATAATGGATATGATGGGCGTGTTGCTTAATGCCAAAACATTTTAATAAATTGGTAAATGGCCATAGACGTTATTCTTTTAGTTTAGTTACAGATTAGTTACAGAGCTGGCAATTCTCACTATAATAGTTACAAACTAGATAATGTAAAGGCAATTTGCTGAAAATTTCAGTCAAATTGATCTACTATGAACCGAGATTTTAGCGATTGAATATTGGAATAACCTCGATCATCATTACTAAAGTCGGTAGGATAAACAACATAGTCTCGATTATCCATTTCTTGATTTAATTATGAATGGAAATCGAACAGAAAATCAGAACGTAATCCAATAAAAATCGCAGGCTAGCGATGCCATCGAGAGTTGATTATGGTCTGAATAAGTGAATTAATGTCTAATTAATAGTTTATATAACATTTCAGGCCTAATGAAGATCTGCAGTAGGCAGATATAGCTCTTGCATAATGTATGTTTAATGGAGGGTAAGTGGAATAGATGTTGACTCTTTTTGTTATGAAAAGATTATGAATTCGAAATAGATGAAGAATTGTATAAGGGGATTCAGAAACAAACCCCTTTAAAAAGATGGGGGGGGGCGGCCGAATGGTTTACACGTGCGTGTTGTATCATAGGGTCTGCCATTGAGTCAATTGTACGTGACAATGAGTAAGGTTTTCTCCGGGTCCTCCGGTTTCCTCCCACTGCTAAAGACCCGATATGATCTAGTTTGTGTCGAGTGGACACTCCCCCCTCTCTCTCTCCCTCTCTCTCTCTTTCTCTCTCTCCTTTAAAGAGAGTGATCTCCTCTAAAGAGCGTGAGAAAGTGGAGAGTGTATTCATTTGTTCATTAAACAAAACAACCATTGTTTTGCTCTGATAAGATGAAAATATGTTAGGGGTGCGAAAGTGTGAAAAAGATGCAGAAGAATTGTATCAAGGGATTTTGAAAGAAAACAAGAGTGTGAAAGGATGGAGAAGGTGTGTATTGATTTTACAAACACTTCGCACTATGACACATAATACCCTTAAAGAGCAATTACTCTTAATTTATTTATTAAGCTCTAACCTACCTTTAGTAAAATATTTTGAAAACCATTAAAAACGACGGTACGAACATGTAAAATAGAAGTTAAAACGTGTATATTTCTAATATTACATCTTCTATAAACGTGGCTATAATATACCACTTTGAAGCTCATGAAAACGCTGTATTCACGGTTTGGAATAGCAGAAAAACGCGTTTACGGGCGTCAAATTGTCCAAATTGTCTTGGTTGGGGGGGGGGGGGGGCGCTACACGGTACGCTCCGCTCCTTCGCCTCTCACAGACGACTGAAACACTCTTCACCAAAGGCTTCTGGTTATTAAAAAAAAATTAAAATGAAATGAAATGACATAAAATAGGGTTTTAACGTCCTATTGTTCTTCTCCGAACTGGGCTAATGAAGACGGGCATACGCCATACAGTGTGCTATGAGGGAAATGTGGTCAGACAGCGGCACTACGGCCTACTCTTATATCGAATTCCAACTGTCAAGGAATCTTTTACGTGCACGTCAATATGTACACGGGACCTCGGTTTTTCGTCCCACCCGAACGACTAGACAGCTGTCCTTGGCAGGGCCTCCGTCCTGCATCATAAAAAAGTCACGCCATGGTCCAAATGTTTTAATAAAGAATTACACCTACCATATATTTATCGTTGATGTTATAAAACTTTACAAACTGTCTTCTTTATATTATTATTAGCACACTTGTTTAACAAGGAAGTTAATCAAATATCTATTTTATTTTTACACACGTGACGGCGTTAATAAGGAGTATAAAAGATCGGACTATTCATTCTATTCGTGCAAACCAATGAGGTGTTACCACAGAAATAGAAGATGTTAATATAACTGTCTTTATGCTAGGTTACCACTATCCTGGTTACCACTATCCCGGAAAACACATTTGCTTCTCTTTATGGGGAGGGGAGGGGAGGCGGGGGGGGGGGGCACATGGTAAGTTCAGCTCCTTCGCCTCTCGAAGGTGACCGAAACCGCCGTCTGTAACCCGAACTTTCCCGCCTTCATAAGCCTGCGTGGTGAGGAGTAGTATGGCGTTAAACCCTTTTCATTCATTCATTCATTTATTCATTCATTCATCAGTACCTATAAATAAACAAACTTAATGGACATTGCCCGCAATTATTGATTGAATATATGGATATTACTTGTTGTTGTCAGTACCTGTATATACATAGAGAGAGAGAGAGAGAGAGAGTATATTGATATCAGTCTCGTCTGAAGGATACATATCATTATAAAACTACATCCGAAACATTAGAATACACAGAAAATCTCTTACGTTAAATTAACAGTGACGTAGATAACTGTCCTACACTTTCTGCGATATCACTTTTTCGACAGCAGACGTTAAACCACCATCATTACTACAATCATTACTCCTGTCCGTCAACATAGAACGACAAACCAGAATGTTACAGTCAGTGATGAAGCCCATTACAACGACACGACATATTATATACAATTAAAACAGTAGATTAAGTACCATCGGACAACTACTCCTGTCCAACAAACCAAATTGACAGAGGAATACATCACAGCGACATAGAAAAAAACAATTAATTAAGCCTCGCGGTAAAATAGCTGTTCTGTGGCTGTCAGGTATACACCAATAGGTTAATAACCATAATCCATATACACGTATAGCATCAATAATTGTATATTGATTCACATATAAATCCCATTTATAGCTTCATATACTTCACAAAGAGAACTGCCCAGCGACAGTAACCACCAGTAAATATTTTAAATTACTGATACGTCAGACTTTTCATTTAATCTGATATTGATTGACATACATAGTCTAGTTTCCATCAACTCTTTTCCTTCACAAAACCACAGCACATTTGTCCAGCTACAATGATGATCGGTTCACAATTTGAATTACTGATACGTCAGACTTGTATATAAAATTCATTTCACCTAACATTGATTGACACAGTTTCCACAAATAAAACTACAACTGTCCAGCTACAGTAACGGACAGTGAGCAATTTGAATTAATGATACATTATGGGAGATTAGATAAAGAGCGGACTATAATAGTTAAAAACTAGATGCTGAAAAGTTCAGTCAAGTCTTCGTTATCCAATTTTGCGTTTAATCATCAACGAACGTTAAACAGCAGATTAGATTCAAATCCACTGAAAATCGAACAGATAAGATGTGATCGAGAGTTGATTATGGTCTTTTCATAATAAATGTCTAATTAATAGTTTTTATAATATTTCAGGCCCATCCGACTTGTGTATAAAATTCATTTCACCTAAGATAATCATATGTTTCCATCGACTCTTTTACTTCACAAATAAAACTACAACTACCCAGCTACAGTTACGGACAGTAGGACAGTTTATATAATATTTCAGGCCCATCCGACTTGTGTATAAAATTCATTTCACCTAACATAATCATATGTTTCCATCGACTCTTTTACTTCACAAATAAAACCACAACTACCCAGCTACAGTTACGGACAGTAGGACCTAAACATTTTGAATTACTGGTAAATACAAATTTCATGTAACAAATACAACAAAATTCGAGGTAAAACCTCACTTTCTATAAAACCGTATTGCAAAAATAATTCCGTGTAATCTTGAAGAACAAACGACATATTAATCCATATTATATATAAAAGCGGATTATTGATTACACAATTCCAAAACAACCGAGCTCAATCGCTGAGCTTAACAAAGAAAGTTCAATGTCCAACTGTGATATCCTATTCGTTGTCATAGTTTATATTATTTTGTCGAAAAGATGGGCTTCGGATATCCAATACTTAAGACGCAATGAAAATTTTAAAATTGGCACACGAATTGCGTGCCAGAATGTTTTCGAGCGCCATTTGCAATGAAGTAACTCGATGGACGTGACTAAACATATCCCACAGGTGAATACTACGGGTGTAGATTGGAATACCCATAGACACCCAAGACTGTCATACAATTTGCACTCTTCGCGTATTGCGCCGAACATAACTGATTAGAAATTAGAGTAAAAACAGAAACGATTGAATGTAAATTAGTTTATATACATTCATATTACATTATTGTATGCGTTGCGACCCATTTGTATCCATATTTCTAGGTCCCAAATATTAGCGATTTAGCTCCTTAAATTATAATAACAATAATAATAATAATAATAGTTTATGGTCTCTGATTCACTCTTTACAATTACACAAGTGCAGGAGGACCACACTACACGCATAACAAACTCTACAAGATAAACCTGCGGACAAGACAGAATATAGACATTGCAAAAAAATAAACAAAATCAAATCAAATACGATGATACCACTGTTCATTAATGAACCACGTCTCGACCGGGATTATTAAGCAATTAAAGATGCATTAGGTAACATTTAGAAGAGCTAGCCGTTCTTGCTATAATAGTTCAAAAATAGATAATGCAAAATGAATATATTACTCTATCACTGTTTGAAGTTTTGACAAGATGTGTGCATTGGTTATTTATTATCGTAACAGCGATAATTGGTATTCGAGATTTAGCCTGGCTTCTACATTTTTAAATTAAATCATTAATGGCCGATGCCTTCTAATCTATCGTATCCTGGTTATGGAAATATTACAAAAAATATGAAAGTATGGAGGTATACTACCAGGACTTAAAGATCTCGCTTTGATATAACAAGATTCTCAGGATTTTCAAGACATGACACGGAAAAGCGCCAAGCCCTTCGGATTGTACAAAAAGTCGAGGTTCATCCGTATAATCGTTAGTGCTGTCCAGGCAAAATGTACCCCATAACGCTCTACACGACGTGTTCCCGTGTCCGGTGATGACAAACAGAATGTTCAAAGCTATTTCATTTAAATTCAATAATTATGTTAATATCTCTACTTACTTGATAGGTGTTGCTGTGTTTAATATTCACGCAGTAAGTTAGCACTTCATAAAAAAAAATATCCGTCTTTAGAACTAAGTCGATCACAACATGCCTAAAGGCTATATAGAATATTATTAACAATTCGCCTCTACTCCAGTTGTCTACATGTGTTTAATAAACACATAATGTATGGCGTGTATTTATCAGTAAAGGTAGTCTTATAACGATTGGTCGTTTTCCATGACCGATAGACGAGCTATTATAAGGCGTCTTTGATTCTTATTCACCATCCAAATTCCAAAGAATAGGGAAAAGACAAATGGGGTAGTGTGGAAGGGGTGGATCGGGAGGTCTTACAGGTGCGCTGTAAATTGTTAGATTTCCTATTAATTACGCTGTAAATAATCGAATATACACTTAATTTATAATGTAAATTCAGATCATAAAAAACCGGAATCAGACCGTAGAAAGGGCTCACAACCTGTGACCAATAACTGCATATAGAGGTCGTATTCTATCAATAGGATCTCGATGTCGAGTTCATTTTAAAACATGGCTTGAAATCGGGTTTAACGTCCTACTGGGCTAATGAATACGAGTTTATTTTAAACAAACCCAGGCGCGGATCCAGAGAGGGGTTTGCCCCCCCCCCCCTGCTCAGCTACATAAAATATTTTGTAAAACAACCTTTTTTATGAGAAAAGTGTCATAATTGTGCTTTATCAATTATCCCCAGATGGTGCGACAGGATGGGCACTCGAAGCGCAAGATAATGATATAGACATATGTGATATCCCAATTAATGCTTTGCATCAATAAAATTGATTCACAATGTCATCGCATTAATTTATAATAAAAAATTGACGTCAAACAGGATGTTGGATTCCTCTGTTTAAAAAGATCAATGTGTATGTATATACGCCAAAATGACGATAGAGACCATGTATTTCTCAAAATATTTCAAGCCGTGGGGAGGGGGGGTACGTTTTCTCAAGAACCTGGCAAACCCCCTCCTGCAAAAATTCCTGGATCCGCCCCTGAAACCCTAACGAAAATAAATGACACCAACATCTTAAAATATCGGCATGCACGTAAAATAATCTATGACAGTTGGAATTCGAAATACAAGCAGGCCATAGGACCGCTGTCTGAGAAAAATATTCTGCGTTAAACATCATTTCATATCATCTCTAACTGAATAAAGCATAATGACAACAAAAAGCAACTTTGACGTCGCTATATAAATAAAATATCACCATTCAATTCGTTCATATAAATTACTTACCACTTTAAATACATTTTCATTTTTCAATGTATAAATTTTATCTAAATGTTTCTTGGGTTAGACGCTAGCTCGCTATCCTAGGGGTCGCGTGTTCGAACCCTGCATTGGTCGAGAAAGTTTATCATGATTTTCCGGCGTCGTTTCCCCTTGTCAGTGGCGCAGGACGGAGGGCATGACAAAGACAACTGTCTAGTCATTCGGATGGGACGAAAAACCGACGATCTGTGTATTCATTGGCGTGCATGTAAAAGATCACTTGGCAGTTGGAATTCGATATAAGAGTAGACCGTAGTGCCGCTGCCCGGGCAAAATGTCCCTCATAGCACACTGTATGGCGGATGTCCGTCTTCATTAGCCCAGTCGGAGCATAACAGTAGGACGTTACACTCCATTTCATTTCATTTGCATTTCTAAATGTTCCTGACTTACGTGTATAGACATCTAGGTTAAATAGCTTGTTACTTGACATACTGCAGACTTCTCCCGTCTTTATCCCGGGTCTTATACATGGATGAGTGGATTAGTTGAAACGTCGTCCAGTTTTCAGTTATTGTATTCCTATAGTACCGTGTCTTGTGTATCTGAAGCCAGTGGAGGTTTATTATTAAAGGAAAATATTGGTGCCAGTCATTATCACATATGTTATAGAACCGGATAAACACGTTCCAAATATTATTTTATCACAGAGATCATTGCTACGATAGATGATTAATCAATGTTTCAACAATAGGAAGTGACGAACGCAAAAGGAAAACACGAGTTATCCCTTTATATAACTGAATGAATTGACGGGTGATAACAGATACACGGCCGAATTTCTGCTCACTAATAATTCCTTCGAAGACCAAAAGTTGTTGTATGGGACTGTGAACGGATATCTGACAATTCATAAACAAAATTGACTCTCACTAGATAAGAGAACATGAAAGAAAAATAGAAAAGTCCGTGCATTACCATGTTTTTATAAGTACAGAATGAATAAACACCCGTGAATGTACGGACTGTTTCTATTTTTCTCGTGTTCTCTTATCTAATGACATGCAATTAATTTTTTGAATTGTCAGATATACTCTTACAGTCTCATATAACAACTTTTGGTCTTCGAAGGAATTTTTAGTGAGCAGAAATTCGCCCATGTATCTGTTATCACCCGTCACTTCAGCCAGTTATATAGAGGGATAACTCGTGTTTTCCTTTTGCGTTCGTCACTTCCTATTGTTGAAACATTGATTACTCATCTACCGTAGCAATGATCTCTGTGAAAATAAAATATTTGGAACGTGTTTAACCAGTTCTATCACATATGTGATAATGACTGGCACCAATATTGTCCTTTAAGACTAAAGAATCCTAACAGAAACGTCGCTCAGTTATAGACAGCTATTGTATTCCATAGAATTAGGTCCCGTCTAACTGATAGAGTCCAGAGAAGTGTTGCCGAAACGTCGACCAGTAATACACAGTTAATATAGATTAAATAATTCTAGTCGGATTGTCCCTCAGTAATAAAAAGGAAATGTAGTCCACAGAGCTGTGACCCATGTATTATGTATAGAGAATCCTAGTGGAAACGCCGCTCAGTAACAAGAACCCGGTATAATTGTTTGATGAAGACTAACAGATTCTAGTCGAAGAGTCTCTCAGAAACAAACAGTAAATTTATTCCACAGAACTTTGCCCCTGTCTTATAAGCCTAGTGGAAACGCCGCTCAGTAAAAATAACCCGATATTGCTTGATGAAGACATAGATTCTAGTCAAAGGGTCTCTCAATAATAAGCAGTAGTTGTATTCCATGGAACTATGACCAGTGTTTCATAATATAGAGTCACAACTTTGTTGCTGACAGTATGTCGATTCTCATTAATCAATAATCAATATTCCATAACTGCTCGTTTTGTTCAATTAAATAATTCTGCATTTTATACAAATAAAATAAAATATCGATTGATGAATCATTTTAGATCTATTGATCGTTCTGTATAGATTGACATGTACCCATTGCCTCTAATAGGCTTGCGTAATGAGCTCGCAGGTATTCAATTTCTTCAAGATCACGGAATTTCAGAAAGGAGTCGATACAGTTGTTTTGAGTTAAAGATGCATTATGTAAGATGTATGTAAAGAATTGATCGTTCTTGCTGTTATAGTTGTAAAATAATTAATAGCGTGAATATATTGAAACTACCTTATTCTAGGCGAAGTTATGAGCGTTTGAATTTTTGACAAGATATAGCCTGAATTGATCTCGATTGTCAAGTACCATTGTTACGATAAAAAGCAACGTCTCGATTATCCATTTTAACGTCAACCAATTATATGGCCACGGTTGGTCTAATCTATTTAATATCTAAGCCATCCGATGGCCTAGAAAGTTAATTATGTTCTTGTGTAAATAATAATGTATATAACATTTGAACTAGACAAAAATTCCCCTATAAGCAGATTTGGCTCTTACATAATGCGTCTTTAAAGTAGGAATCTATGCGATCGATCTTTTGCATCGTAAACAATTATTTCGGAGTGGCATTACTGAACGGGTTCTATTTTAAATGCGACATGAAAATAATACGGTTGACGAGGCGGCGGTTTCTAGGCTAAGGATCTTCAAATCTACCATCTATGAAAGTCATGAGCTCGATCCCGTGATTGTATACAATACATAGTAGTGTCTCCTATTTAACCCCTTGCGTTTGCACCTGATTCCAAACAAATTTCTGATGTGTAACAAGAAGTTGTGCTGCCGGCCTAACCTCGTGGGTTTCTCTTGAAAAAGTCTTGAAATGACGTAGCTTTATGTTGTGTAACAAGAAATTGTGTTGCGAGCTTAACATAGTGGGTTTCTCTTGAAAAAAAAGTCTTAAAATGACGTAGCTTTATGTTGTGTAACAAGACGTCTGTCTAACCTCGTAGGTTTCTTTTGAAAACGTCTTGAAATGACCTAACTATATATTGTCAAACAAGACGTAGAGCTGCCTGCCTAATCTCGTGGGTTTCTCTTGAAAGCTGTGGATTGTAAACTTAATCAACTTAGTTGCACACACACACACATACCCGCACACACCTGTTTATTGACTAGTGTTATAACAGAATTAAAACATTAAACAGGTTTCACGTGTTTCAACAGAAAGTCGTCATTAATAGTTAAACAGAAGCGGATGTTATAGCAAAGTTCCTTTCTAATTACCTCGTCTGTTTCTAGTTCTGTATTATTATATATGCCCTGTACACACGGTACGATGTATTTTGTATTAGACGCCAGACGGTGTTATAATAATCCATATACACACAATCCGGTGGATCTTATTCCCTGTGTGGCATTATATTTTTGTCTATACACACGGTACGATGTATTTTATATTAGGATGTATTGTATATATTCCCTGTATTTTGTAGGAATATGTAATATATCCCTTATACACAGGGTAGGATGCGACACCCAGTAGAATGCATTTTATATTAGCAGGGTGTTATATTTTCTCTATACACACGGCACAATGTATTTTATATTAGAATGTATTGTATATTCCCTGTGAGTGGGAGGGGAGGGGGCGAATGGTTAGCACATGCGCGTTGCATCATAAGGTCTGTTATTCGGTCAACTGCATGGTGTGGTTTCGATTCCCCGGTTACCCGTGACAGGGGTAGGGTCGCCTGTCCAACCTCGTGGGGGTTTCTCCGGGTCCTCCGGTTTCCTCCCACTGATAAAGAACCTTACGCGCACGCGAATTATTGAAATACAATTGAACCATATGTTAGTCCCGAAATGACCAAGTTTATGTATAGTGGACTTTAAACCCTATTTCTCTCTCTCTCTCTCCCTACTGCTACCACTTTAAAGATGCATTATATAAGAGATAAATC